ATGGGTTGCATTTTGGTTGTTTGTATGAGAATGTGGGACTGTGTATTACCTGGTAGTTTTCTGCTTCGGCGTAATTTTTAATGGTTATCCTGTTGGTGTTTCTTCGCATATTATTCTGATATAGCTGGTGCTTGGCATTAAGGTCGCTTCCTATTAGGTAATATTTAGTGCTGCTTTTGTTTGTTAGTTCGTCTAGGTATATTGAGCTTATTTTATTGTCTGATGGTGCATATGCTGCACCTATAGTAAGGCAGGGTGTGGTGTTTTAATTTTAATGGTAACGGTTTCCGTGGAGGAAGTTGGTTGTGCGTTGTGTACTATCGGTATTATGCAATGGGTGGCTATTAGGACTCCTTTTCTAGGAGTCTTTCCATTTTCAGGAACTCTGTCTTTTCTGAGTATGGAATATTCCGGGATGCGAAGCACGTCTTTTAGTGCTAACTAGGTTTCCGTGATTACTGCTATGTCTATGTGGTGATCTTGTAACTCCGGTTTCTTGTTTTTAATGCTTTAATTTCCTTGTTAGGGGCCAGCTTCCAATTCTTTCACAATCTGCATTGTGGCTTTGACTCGATCTAAGTTATTGTTGCATTTAGTGTAATGTTTTTTATTATATTTTATTTTTTTTTATTATATTTTATATTTTATATGTATGAATTTTATTATTCTGAGGAATGTGTCGAGGTCCGATAATCTTATTTCGTCGAGTGTCTCAGTTATAATATTCGCCTTGTATACTATTTGGTGCGGAGGGACTTGGGGAGAGTGTATGTCTGGCGGTTATATTAGCGTACGTCGCTTATGTGGGAGCTGGGTCTTGTATTTGTACTTGTGTTAAATTAGTGTGCGTCCATGCTACGTGGTGCGGCGGTCTTTTTAGGGTGGAGAAGGCTTTTTAGGGTGGTAGTGGAAGGTGTTGTGTGTTTTGATGCAGCAGGACTTTTTGGGCATTTCTTTTGGCTAGAAATGCGAGTAGCACCGAACATTGAGAGTAGTTGGCTGGGTGGCTTCCTTTACAGTTCGTACATGTTTATCTGGTGCATTCTCTGGAGTCGTGAAGTCCAGCACATTTAACATATTTTGCCTTCTTATTACAATTGGTTGAAGAGTGTCTGTGGGCTTGACATCGGTAGCATTGTCGGTTTCTTCGAGTCGAATTTCTCCCAATATACTTTCAAGTTTTCTACGAACCTTATATGTTTCACTTTCGCGAAGGTCGTACCTAGTACGAAGGTGACTCGATAGATAGGATATCTAGTAGGTGTGGGTATTTCGATGTAGTTTAAGGGGTTTAGTTCTTGTCTTTTCAGGTTGTTTATAATTGCTTTATCGGGCAGTTTTACTAGTCCCTTGAGCACTACAGTAAGAACTTTTTCGGAACTGATGGTATATGTGTGAAATTGAACTTTGTCTTTGCGACAAAGTTCTTTAAATTCTTTAAAGTCATTTATATTTTGGAACATTACCTTAAGTTTGTCCGCAGTGTATTTGGCGTAAAATCTATCGCTGTATTTTGTCTTTAGGGCTTCTAGAAGTTTTTATTAATTTATCTTGCCATGTATGTATATCGGGGGTGGTTTGAGTTTTTCCTGTTCGGTGGAAGTGTTTTTGGGTGTGTTTGCGTTGCAGTGTTTCTGTTATTTGGCTCTTCGTCTATGTGTTCCGTATCGTTTAATAGTCATTCCGCAAGGATGCCAAATCTGTTCTGGGTTGTAATGTTTGGTGAGAACGTTTCCACTTGGTTCAATGAGAATTGTTGGCTTTGAATTGGGAGGAAGACCTCCTTCTCGTCATTATGGTTTTAATCTTTTTCTGTGGCTCTTCTTTTTAAGTATGGCCATGAGGCGACAGCCGTCGTGCCCGTTTTCTTTTCTTGAGTTGGGATGTTTATTGATGTTAGATCAATGGTGACGTAGATTCTGCACGATGTTAACACTACTCTGTTTACTGCTATGTCACATATCGACTATCAGAACTGTCGTGTCCATTGTGCGTAACTCACTAAGACTGAACACTAATTGATGTCCTCATATGCCTTCTCGATCAAGAAATCGGGAAGGTAAAGTTCAATTTTGCAATTGTTTTATGGGCCTAAACGGCACTGCATCCTTGACATTATATTTACAGCGTTCTAACGGGTCCACGTCCTTATATTTATAACGTTGCCTAGGTCGTGTCCCCTACATAGAGCATGTAATACCATTAACTTTGTTCTTTGATATTTTTTTTCGATCTCAATTTTAGAGATATAGCTCTGTCCAGTTTCATTCTGTATACTTTGTAATCTTTTCCAATGTTGAAAGATTTCTGAGAAGCTTATTAGGAATACTATTAGGAGTCTTTACTTGCACATTTCAATTTAATTTCTTCATGATCATGAATTATCTATATTGAATATAGAGGCTGAGTTTTTTTTTGTCTCGTTGTTTTAATAAATCTTTGACTTGATTTATACTCATGTCATGTCAATATTTGAAAGAAAAATTGGTAAATAATTTCTGTTACTTGAATTGAGCATAGTATGTAATTCTGTTGTATTGTTTTAAGTTAATCTATAATTGCTCGTCCATTAATATTTCATTGAATTATTGCTTTTATATATTTATGGGTTCATTGAATGAAACTTGACTATAAGGCGTCAGTATCTGTATCTAATATTCCAAACATTTAAATGACGACTTTTTTGCATATTTTGTGAATTCTATCTTGAATATTACATTTTTTTAAAAATAAGTAGATCTTTTTTATCGTTTCTATTAAATTTCCTGTATATTCTTTTGATATTTCTATAGAGTTAGCAGAACCAAAGAAGTTTTCAAATCTTTAAGTCTTTCCATTCATAAATTGGGAGAAATTGGATGTACAATTTTTATCTACATATTTCGTTTTTAGTGAATTTAAGAATTTCTTCAATTAAAAAACGTTTTTCTTTTTAAATATTTATATTACTGTTTTTAATATCTGACGTTAAATTCCGCTGTCTGAAAGTTACATTTACATGATTTAAGTTTAACGGATAGATTCAAAGAGTAATCAGTTGTTTTTGATAGGTCGATCTGCACTTTAGATTCCATAATTGTCGACGACAGTATGGATGCTTGGCTCGCTGAGTTTTTATTACTCTCAGAATATTATTTAGCGATCTTTCTTTTTTGCATAAAAAACAAATTAATTTATCCATTGTAATGAAGATCCGGTACCATGTATCTTTTAGAGACATTACAAACGAATCAAGGATCTTTTTGATGTTCTGAATACTTCGAATCGGACATTTTTGCTTTTAGGACAATTAATTGCTAAGATAAACGAGTTACTCTTTTTTAAATATGTTTTTGACTTTGACATTTGGAATTGTAGAAGAGACATTGGATAAAGTAATATGTTGTACTGTTATTTATCGTTTTATGTTTAGTGGTTTTCTTCTTACTCAGGTACATATAAATTCTGAGTGCATACAAATCCTACTATTAGAAATTTGTCTTTGGAGGTTGTTAGAAGTTTGCTTTGGGACCAATTATGTTCCGCACAGGCATATTCCTTGATACTATTGTAAAACCATCTACTGGGATTTTCATAGGATTTTGCAAATTCTGTGGATTTAGTAGTTTGAATTTTTACAATTTTTACTAGAAAAAAAAAAAGATATTCTCATCTTCCTACATGTAACCCGCTACATGTAAATGTAAAATCGTCTTGAAAAAAAAACAAACTCACGAATAAGTACAGACAATAAATAAGTAAAAGTACAAGCTCACTGTCAAAGTTTTAAAATGTACTTTATGTACATTCATTGTCATTGATAATGGTTTCCATCGAATCGATGGGTTCCGATAATTCTGACGCTGACATGAATCGCTTTAAACTGAGTAATTGTAAGTTGTTAATCTCTCTCATTGTTAATCTAAACGATGTTACGAAGAAAGTAAAATAATTTAAGTATTTCTTAACAGTAACAACAATATATTTCAATTTAAATGATACAAATATTTGATGTTAAAATAGTGTAATCTTAAGTGTGATCGAAAGTTGATTGATACATAGACAAGCTATAGGAAAGACATGATTTTTTATAGGACTTACAATTAGTATTATATGTTCTGAATTGTCGAAATGGTAAAAAGTCATTAATTTTTTTAATCCATTTGATATTCAAAGAATTGGAGAAGTTGATCAAATAGATCAATAGTACAATTAGTATTGTATGTTCTGAATTATCGAAATGGTAAAAAATCATTAATCTTTTAATCCATTTGATATTCAAAGAATTGGAGAAGTTGATCAAATAGTAAATACACTAGAGACATGATATCTGCTACAATGTTATCAAATTTTCAGTACCGAAACGTGAAACTAATAACCAACCGAAAGAGCTTTATCCTTATAGTTTATTTATGTAACTTTTTATGGATTTACGATGGGTTTTCTAATCTAGTACATCAAAATTCTAAAGCTATTAATACATAGTTTTAAATATACTATAAATTATACTTCATAAAATATTATTTAAAAGTAATTTTTAAGTATTTCAGTTATTTCTTAATATTATTTTCTACGCAGTCAATGTACTTAAGTCAATTGATTACGATTCTTTTTATTTATTTACATTATACAAACAAAAAATTTTTAATTTAATTTTTTTATTTATATACATTATATAAACAAATTTTTCTTAAATTTTCAACAAATTTTTAATTATATAATAGTTATGCAATACAAATGACATAACATAAATTCTATTATTGATCAACTGAAGATTGATACTTGAATTTTCTACTATACCGTAATGAAAATATATACAGGGTAGCTACTGAAAAACTGAAAGGTTTGAAAAAAATCATAACTTGTTCGTTTTTCAATCTTTTTTATTTTCTCTTTTTGTAGGTTACAAAATTATAAAATTATAAAATCCATTAATTATATTTCCAAATAAAATAATAAAAAAATTTTAAAAACGTGTTTGTAAAAGTTATTTTTGTTTAATATCATTCAGTTTTTCAGTGGCCATCCTATATTATCAATTTCTAAAATTAATAATAATTAATTAGAAAGCGTTCTTGGTTAGAATGTAAATGCAAATTATAGAATTTGTTTCAATATCATCGGATACTATAAAAAAGAAATTATGTATGGAATTATTTATATATGGTATCATTTCAAAAAAATTAATTTAACTTCGAACTTTCCCTTATTAAACAAAAAATAATTTACTAATAATTTAATGTGTTAAAAATAATTTACTAATAATTTAATGTGTTTCTTTATACCAAACAATATTTATAAAACATTTTTTTCATAGGTTCAATCCTAATCGAGTTTACAGAATAAAAAATATATCATGTGTTGTATAAAGTGATTCATTCAGATTATGAATATACATATTAAAATAAGTAAGAAATATTGCATTTAAGTCATATCTAATTATGTTATTAGTAAAAATATCAATGTTTTCTAATACATTAATAATAATAAATAGATGAAATCAATCAAATATAATAAATTTTTCGTCCAAATTTTTATTAATCGCTATTCTAAGCCATTATATTTTTTTATTGATGAAATGTCACCACATTTCAATAAATAACTTTTTATGTAGAATTGCTAATATTGCTAATATCTATATTTTTTTATTTTAATTCCTACCATTGGCAGTGCTGCTGTGCAAAACTTATCAACATCCTACGGTACGGTAAAATGGTAAGGGGACTCTGGAACTTTCCAAGCGTATGATACAAAAATGTATTGTGTTTGGGCGATTTTCCATAATTCCATAATAATTAGAATTATGCGTACGAAAGACGTTAAGTTTCTTGTCCACATAAAATAATTTATTATTCTATTTTTACATAAAGACAACGGCTTATCCATTTTTTATGCTGGCAAAAAGTCCTAACGTCTATCACGCTCTATCGCTATTGTGACGCGATAGTTTATTGTCTTTCCCGCGTGCCTGTCATGTTTGGTATTTTCTAAAAATGGTTGGCATCGATGTTTAATAATCACTGTTTTTAGAAAAATTACGTCAAAGCAACCAAACAGCTTACCGTCCAAAGTGATCCGCGCTCGCCATCACTTTTCTACAACAAGCCCGCCGTCAGCGGGGAAGTCAGTTGCAATACTCAACAGCCAGTGTAACAGTGCGTCAGTGCATATCACTGATTACGTAAACACAACCATTGACAGACAATGAGTGCGTATTACGTCAATGCTGTATTATCATTACAATTCGGGCTACAGTTTAACATTTGCTATACCGTCACATTCGAGCTATAATCAGTCTTCCGCTATACTGCCATTACTTGGCAATTACTACTATTTCTCGTATTAATGTTAGTGTCACCGCTAATACGTGAATAATCGTTAGACATTAGTCAGATGGTCAATTCCATGTGACGTCCGGTCCAAGCGATAAAATCTGATAAAACTATAAAATATACAGTTTACTCATAGCGATCTCCGATTATCTATCGGAATCAATATTCTCATAATACTTCATTACACGGTCGTTATCTGCCTCAAATACAAGCGCGAATTATATTGCTTGACACATCGTGCCATAAGACATTGGATGTCATATCTTTCCTATACCTTGTCCATAATTGATGTCGGTTGTGTTTTTTTTTTGAATTTTGTTTAAGTTCAATTTAATGTGACGATAGATATTAACACTCAGTATAAACGTTAATGCTTAGGATAGACATTAATCGGTTGTCTTGGGGTCCGCAAAAAGAAATAACACTTTATAATAAATAAATCTGAGCTTTATTCAATTGCTTAAGGTGGATTTAAGTCGCACATACTGCTACGGATTGTTACAAAAGAACTGCTTAACAAGAACTTCTATTATAAAAAGACTATCATGTCATAGTAGAATGTCTGCCTGATATCGTCGCAAGACATCTCTTTATATTTTTATTTATCATAGGAAAAAGAGAAAGAACGTAAGTGACAAACAGATTAGTAAATTTTGCTTTTTATGAATAAGAGTTCGTAAATCACTTTGAAGAAAAAGTATTTGTTCGGGAAAGTTTCTTGGCTCCAAGGCGGGCATGTGGCGCATATATTATCCGTTATTTTAACGTAACTTTGTCCAAATGTGTTGTCTATATTCGGGAAGTGAAAGTTGCTTTATGTCACGGTCAAGGGCCTTGTTAAGCATAGAACGAAGTTCTCTCAGGCGATCAAGGATTTATGACAACTTGGAGCTATTAGGCTCAGGTCACTTGATACTCACCAACCCTCTATTGCGGACCTGGATTCCGACCAGATAGGATTCGCGCATGGAAACGTTCCCGGCTTGAAGATTAGAATTCTCTTGACTTCAAGACTTCAGTTCTCGAGCTCCATTAAAGAGCGCATTCGAACAGTTTAATTTATCTCTCGATCTAATATTATCACCGAAGGGAATCATCCCTTAATATTTATCAAGCGTGTGATAAACAAATACAGTCCACTATCAATAAAACGAATATACATACACCTCGTCCCGCTAACCACTCGCGAACAAAGAAAATAATAGCAGATTTTGTTAATAAATAATAAAATTATAGTTCTATATTATAACACACACATACACACACACACACACACACACACTTAGTATTTGCTATTGTCCAGAGATATGGAAATTTCGATTGTTACAAACAATTGTTACTTTTTTATATACAAATGCTTATATCAGATTAAAATAAATTTATTACATATTACATACATTTAAAATTTAAATTATAGTGTGTTATTTATCATTTAATTAATTATTTACTACAATTTTTATTATACATTTTTTCCTATAAATTTTACTACAATCATTTAAATTTTATTTGATTATAATTATGGATCAAATTTAAAAAAATTTTCCCAAGGAAAGAAATTCAAATCAATATTAAGAAAATTATTTTTTTCCTTTTTTGCTAATAAGTCACCTGAAATTCATATTACATTTATTTAAAAATAAACTTCTATAAAAAATTAATTGACTATTTATACGGTGAATAATACATATGTATAAACTTAATTATATAATGATCCTAAATATTTCTACTGTTTCTCACTTAGTTAGTACTCACTACTTAATTAGTATAGATATTGATTGATATAGATATTCAACATATATAGACTTAAATTAAACCAAGTTAAACAATTCTAAACAGTTCTATAATCAGTTTATTATTGTTGAAGTATCACTTATTATGATATTTTATTTTGTTAGATTATAAATATACCATTTTCGTTAACATGATTTGTGAAATATAAATAAAATCTTCTATAAAAAAAATAAAATAATCTTCCATAAATATTATTATTTACAGTTATATTTTGTACAATAGCGATTACTGTTTTTCATGAAAGATCTAATTAATAATATTATAATATTGCAATCAAAATAAATATTTTGTAAACATTTGTATCTGAAAATCTATTTAATTTTTTTTGTTTTTTGTTAAGAAATTTATCTGACAGCAAGATATGTCATATGGAATCATTATTATACATAATCTTATGATAAGTCTGATCCTTGTAATGAATAAAATATGACACATCTTACGAAAAAGTGAAGTCAATTCTGAACTTCTAAAACAAAGACAATTTTTTCAACAAATATTACCCAATTATCCAAAAACTATACAAAGGCTATACTAATAATTGTGATATATATAATTTTTATACATCCTGTAAAAGCATCCTTGTTATATCTTGAGGAATCATTTTTTTGATAAAATTTCGACTAATCTATTATAAAATTATGTATTTCTTTTCTGTATTTTGTTACTATTGTTACTATTGTTACTATTGTTATATGGCAGATATTGTAATCTTATAAATTTTCATAAATTATAATATTAAACGTGTTCTACATTTGCTTATATCAGAAACTTCATGGTAGCTACTGTCGGAATCACATCATATTTGCAAATAGTAGAGCAAACAAATGAATTTTTATTACAATGTACCAATCATTGAGGTCTAAATACACAACAGCAAAAAATTAAATAATAGACATTATTGATATACAAAAAAAATTTGTAATAACTTTTAATAAGTTATACACATTCTATAATATTTTTCATGAAAATATTAATGCTACATACATTTTTTATTGATACTTTAAATGTCAAAAATATGTAAATTTTTTGGAAAAAATATTTGTTACTCATAACGTATAACTTTATTTTGGTTATTTTATTTTAGTTGTAAGCTAAATTTGCTTAACAATTGTACTGTGTACAGAATGATTCATTTAAGCGAGGCCACCTAAATATCTTTTCGAATTATGATGAACTATTTTTTGCCTAATATGATTGGTATCAAAAGGCCAATAACCAGTAAGAATATTTTTTCAAAGATTTTTTAAAGTCATTGATGTTTTTTTTCATATAACTATGTATTTTTTTTAATTATATCGTGTAGTTAGTAAAAAAATACTTTCAGATATGTGAAGAACATGACTTTGAAAATTTAAGTTTTACGTATAAATTTATCTCTTTTGGGATCACAGACCTTGGCTAAGATGTGACAATCGAGAACCTAATAATAAATGTAAATAACGATGTTCATTATTTATTACATCGTCAACGATAATCTCTTCTAATCGCTTGAAATTTCAATCGGAATTTGTCAGCAATTCATAATAGAATACTCAACGCAAGAAAAAATCGATATGATACTCATTTATAGTAAAAGTGGTATTTGAAACGAGCAGTTCGAGTATACAAAGATGCACTTCTACATACGCAAAGATAATTAAAAATTTTCGTCAAACTGGAGAATTATTTGCACTGTTAATAACAAAAAAAAAAAAAAAAAATAAAGAAATTATTGTAGCTAAAGAGTAGCATTTCTAAAACTAGCATAATACGAATATGAACAGATTTTATAAATCATATGCATTTTTCCCAGTGAGGTTTGCAACAATACAACAGTGGCTAATCATTCTTTAGAAGAAAAACTTAAATTTTTGGACATCAATGTATTATTTTAAGGTCATGTATTTTTTTTACCCGCTATACGATGCAATGAAAAATATACGTAGTTGTATGATCAAAAAATATATCTTTGTATACTTGGACTATTTCTCTCAAACACTATTTACTTTTATCATAAGTAAATATCATATCAATCTTTTTGCGTTGAGTATTCCATTATAAATTTTGATATACTGATTAAAATTTCAAGTTACTAAAAGATATTATCATTGACGATATAATAAATAATAAACATCTTTATTTACATTTATTATTAGACTCTCGATTGTCGCATTTTGGTCAAAGTTTCAATAGAGGTAAATTTATACGTAAAACTTAAATTTTCAAGGCCAATGTTCTTTACATATCTGAATCTATTTTTTCACCAACTACACGATATAATAAAAAAAAATTTAGTTACATGAAAACATTAATGACCTTGAAAAGTTGAAAAAAATATTCCTACCAGTTATTGGTCACCATCCATATTAGGTAAAAAATAGTTTTTGCATCATTTTAAAAGATATTTAGGTGGCCTCTCTTACATGGACTATCCTATATATAAATTTGTACATCTTTCAAACTTCAATACACATGTTTATGTACATAAGGAACACAAACTCTTTGCACTGTGTGGTAATTAAAATTAGATTCAGAAACAAAATCCATAGGCAGTATTAAGAGACTGAATTTTTATATAAGCTTTTTATATAAGCTATTTTTATATAAGGATTTTTATATAAGCTATTTTTATATAAGCTTTACTGCTTACTTATAGAAAGAATTATAATTAAAATATTAGATTTCCAAGAACAGAGTTTTTTTACAGTAATTTTTTACAGTAATTTTTACAAAAAAAATTACATTTCACTAGTTCTACTAAAAACAAAATTTAAGAATTATATAAATCAATCAAGATCATTAACCATATTAAAAATATATATATAAATAGAATATATAGAAATATGTATTTTATGTCTGATAATTTCCATGCCATAAAATAATGAATAATGAATAAGCAAAAAATTACATCTTTATTTCTAAATTTTATATTTCTATTATTTAAATACATAAAAGTCGTCATTTATAATTTTTAAAAGAAAAATATAGTTCTAGATAGCCATAAAATAATTAATATCCAATTCAAGTATCCAAACGAATAATTATTTTTACTAATATGCTAAAGATTAAGAAAAGTACAATTTTTGAAAAAAATATTTCTGATAGATATTAAAATGTAGAATTTAATCATTTTTTAAGTAACATATATCAATAATTAAAATATTAAAAAATTAATTGTTCAATAATTAAAAGCAAGATTTAAAACTTTAATAAATATTTCTAAAATATTGTAAAATAAAATTACTTCAAAATATAAGTTTAATATTATTTTTTATATAAAATTTAATACTATTTAATATAGTTTAATAACATAAAATATAAATTATTAAAATCATGTAAATTAAATGCAAAGAATCATATAAAAAAACAGACTCTATTTTTCTATCTTTTTAAAAAATTATATGTATTCTATCTTCTTAAAAAATTATATGTATTATTAATTAAAATTTAATTCAAAAAATTTAATATTAGTTTTATTGTTCATTTTTTATAAACATTCAAAAATTTTTTTACTATATTGAAAACAGCAGAAATATTTAGACTGACTATTTTAATATAAATTACTTACATTCATTTATATCAGAAAAATCTTCTGTTTTTGTTTCTACTCCATTTTTGTCTATTTTTGTAATAATAGTATGAATTTTGCCACCAATTTGATTTGATACAATAGTTTCCTCATTTCCTTCATAATCTTTAATAATTTGTTTTTGTTCTATTGTTCCATCAGGTTTACGAATATATTCTTTTCTCACAGATCTTCCAATTATGGTAGGTCGTAATATTTCAAATTTTGGCTTTTTACATTCATCCCAAACATTAGAAAAATTGTCTACAGTAATTCTATCAAAAATACATTTTTTTTCAAACAATTATAAATTATATTTATGAATTATGTTAAATTTTTTAAATTACTAACTTTCCATCTAAATCTGTATCTAGTTTTAATCCTATCTGATCATTGTTTGGCTTCAACATGTTATCACGTAAAGTTTTGCTTTGTGGTGCAAATGAAAATGCACGTATTCCTGTATCATTACCTAAACAAATTTAGAAAATATTTTTATACAAATTTAAATTCAGTTGTATATAAATTAGAAAAATATATATATATACCTCCATCATTAAATCCAAAAATGGAATTCAACATATTTTCTATTTCAGATTCAAAATATCGTGTTATTTGTAATGGATCACTAAAGATGTTAAAGTGATTTCTTTCCCTGAAAAAACTATTATACATGAAATTCTATAGTAAAATTGGTAACTTTTCATTTAAGAAAACAAAATAAAAAAAATATATAGATATCGTTATTGTAGATATGTATTGACATGCTTTTTGTAATATATGTGTATACATAATAATACATAATAACCTTCACATTTGTAATAATTTCAAATATTTAGATATAAAATTATAACATTTGTTAGCATGTTATAATTAACCCTTTAGTGCACATGCTAGGTACATGCTCTGGGATTCATTATTCACATCAGTTATCTATTTACCTATATATTTGAAACTTAAGCGAAAATATATTAGGATACATCTAAAAATTTATGAATACAAACTATATTTTTCCTCACAGAGACCATGAATTATCAATTACATATTTTTAATTTGCCAGTAGAACAATTAAGGAACTTTAAATTGTAACAATTAAGTCTTAAAATTCCAAAATTCTTTAATATTTGTTTATTATATATTTGCAACGTGCTTATTAGTTTAACGTTCTGTTTAATTCTGATAATAAAAAAAAAATTTTTAAAGCATCATCTTACATTCTGCAAGTTTATAAATACTACACTTCTACGTGAGATATGAAATAAAAATTACCTAGAATTATCATTAATATCAATTTCCCATGTTGAATTTTCAATATTATCTCGTTCGTCATTATTTTGATAATTATCAAACCTGAAATATTTCGTAATGTAGGTTTAATTAAAAAGGAAATTATAATTAATCAAAAATATAGAAAACAAACTATACAATCAGAACAGACAATCCATATTATAACATATAAAATAATATTTATTTTAAATCTTTACCCTTTATTAGAGTTTCTTAAACTTTGAGCACCAAATATATTACGAATAAAATTCCAAAATTCCATTTTTTACTACTTTAATTCACTTACTCGTCAAAAATAAACTCACATCATATGTTTGAATATTCTCGAATTAAGATATGTAATTGGACGCATAAATATATATCTGAATTTAGTTATATTTGAATTTGCAGAGTTGGTATTACATTCATATTGTATTTTTGTTTTATCCCTACAGTCATCTATAAATATCGAGTAAATAGATTGACACCTATAATTTAAAAAATATCATGCACATTTAGAACAAAAATTTAAATCAAATAAAATCATAAAAATGCATATTTATTAACATTCATAAAGTAGCATAGTAATATTTAATATAGTAATATTATAGTAATATTAAGTTTCTGTTTGTTATTATTTAATAATCATAAATTTATTATTAAAGTCATTATATCAAATATGTATTATTTAAAAAATATAGATTATATGCAAATATACAGTGAAGAGCATAACTGCTGTGTCAATGACAGTGAAAAATTATCGATAATTGAAACTAGCATGACTTCATAATTCCATTTAATCTAATTTTAAAACGTGGGAAAGTGACATTTTTTTCGCGAAAATTGTAAAAATTCAAACGTGTAAAAACGAAGAAAGAATTTTTTTTCATAATTAAATATTTACCATTATTTTAAAAATTGAAGTTTCCCCTTTACAACGATTTCTTAAAACCTATTGTGTGATTTTTTAAATCATTTTTTTACTATGTAAAAGTGGAACCTTCGCACTTCAAAATGGGATCAAGATTTACGAAGTTATATCAATTCAAATAAGTAACAATTTCTCATTGGTACAATTATATTAGTTATTGTATAATGCTCTATTATTTCCCTAAAAATATATTATGAATTTTGTTCAACACATTTTAATACATATTGATTTCAACTTCTATGCTTTCAAATGATATTCAATTAATATATTTCAAGTTTAAACGTGTCACATTAAATAAATTAATTAAATACATGTTCATTTTATATTTATAATAAGTACAATATAACTTTTTAAATGATAAATTTAAAATTACCGCCATAACTGTGTATAGCCTATATTCACATACAATTTTATCATGAAATAATGGCATTCGAAAAAAAATAACCATTCTGTCATGAAGCAAGTTAATTATTATAAGAAATATAGTATTATTATTTTTACATATACAGTATAGATACAGTGAAAGTTTGAAACTATTAATATTATCTAACGAAATTGTACAAATAAATAAATAAATAACTATTTAAATCAATTTAGACATCTGAATGATAATATGATTTTATTATAAATATTTTATCGAATAAATGTAAGTAATGTTTTATTATATAAATTTATATAAAATATGAATAATACAATGAATCAATATATTTGTATAATATTTTTGTGGAATAATCTAACTTTTTAGTTCTATCTGAATTAAATCATGTTATAAACTCAATGAAGAGTTATGAATTAAACAAAACTGATTTCTTATATAATTTAAAAAAGATATAATAGTTTTAATTTCTTCCAATTTAATAACATAAGTCATAAGTTCATTGATACTTATATATTCATCTTTTTATAAAATAAAAATATTATATTACTTTTTGTTTCAGATTAAAAAGAACTTCAATATGATAAAATACAATGGCATAGAATTGTTTTAAACAAAACTAACACTTTGAACGAAAACAATGAATAACATTTCTGGACAGTTCCGTAAAACAATGTGGGATCCATTTCTTATAATATCTCAAATAATTGCTATACAAACTGTGATGTACTTTTGTCTTGGATTATGGATTTGGATTGTTGCATCATTCATAGGATCCACAAAGTCATTAGACTATGCTTTTCATTATAAACAAATACATGTTAGAGATTTTGCTGGTCAGTTTATTATAATTATTTTCATTTTAAATGCATTGATTGGAGCAATTGCATTATGGTGGTTAGTACAGAGAACAAAACAATGTATGGACTTTGCTTGTACTGCGCATTTAATACATTTATTGTGTTGCTGGATATACAATGCAAGTTTTCCATCAACATTTAGTTGGTGGTGTTTAAACATCATATCTTTAAGTATAATGTGTGTTTGTGGTGAATTTCTTTGTATGAAAACTGAATTACAAGCAATACCACTAAGTATGAACAGTCAGAAAACAGCCCTGTAAAAATTTGTTGTCAAACTGATCTTTACTAAATCATTTCAGATTAAAAAGTTTAAGGTAGAGAAATAAAAAACTATTATATTAGCATATATTTATATATTTTTATTTATTATCATAAATATACATTATAATATCTATGTAATTTATAATTTGACTACATATATTTATTATGTTCGTTCAATGATCTTCTTTATAAAAACGTAAACCACAATATCCACAAGTATGGTTACCAGGTTTATCCTAAAATGAAATCAAGTATGTAAATAAATTTAATGAACATATTTATTAATGTTGCAAATATTTATAATTTATACCAAATTAATATAAACTTTCGGATGCCCCAAAGGTCCACCTCCTCCGTCGCAAGCAACAATTTTATCTTTTACAGACGTAGGAGGAATCTCATCAATCAATTTAATAGCCCAATTATCGTTAACTTCCTTTGGCCTATTTACAAATCGTACATTACGATAATCATCCTCATCATAGATCTATTATAAAGTAAATAGTATTTATCAAAATAAACAATATGTGCAAAAATAAAATATTTCTATCAATACTATTTTACCTGACCAGTATGAGTAACTTTTTTAGCAGATTCTGTAGTTACATCATGCACATTTCTTGTTATTAATCTTATAATATTAGGTTTATACACTTTATTGGAGGCTTCTAAAAATTTCATAATCTTCATATTCGCCATTATTATTTTTTTAATGTTTCCACACTTTTTTCTTTGAACTTTCACACCATGTTTGTAATATGTAGGATTATAACCAAGAATATAACTACACGTACATAAGCAACCACATTAGCAAAAGAATATATCGTTATGTATATATATCATTGACTAACTAACATAGATTGGACATCCAATGCTTATTCGTGTCCCAGGTTTTGAAAGTCACCCGACCGTTATCACTTTCGTGTCACATCCTGTCATATCGACTTAGACAAGTATTGCACGACCACCCACGAAATATATGAATAGACCAAGCATCTTACAGGGTTTCATAACCCGTGACCGGAAAACCGACATATTAAAAAATGACTGATTTTTTAGCGCACTCTACGTTTAAACAACGGTGAATTGTAGAATTACATCAAGTAAAACGATCGAGGTTGGTCAAGTAGTGAATGCTTCAGC